AGCGCCATCCGGTTAGTGCTTGGGACAGGAGGAGGACGCTGACGCGGGACACGACGACCAGTGCGAGCAGCATGAACAGGTGACGCAGACCGAGACTCAGGCTCACGACGCTCCATAAGACTGCCTGTCGGACTAGTGTAGGGAGAAGGACCAGGGAGTGGCGAGGTAGGCGGTAGGTGTGACAGCGACTGGACAGGCGGAGGACACTCTAAGGAGGGAGCAGGACAAGAAGGAGGCGGCTGACCAAGAACTTGCCGAAGGAGGGGAACGAAGTACGACTGTGGCCGTGAAGTGCCCCCAGAACCAGCAAAGACAGCACTAGAACCCCCAGCAGCAGCTCCAACTCGCTCAGCACCACCAGCAGCTCCAGTACCTCCAGCAGCACCAGCCCCAGTACCAGCAGCACCACCAGCAGCTCCAGCAGCTCCAGTACCTCCAGCAGCACCTCCAACAGGACCAGCTCCACAGCTCCAGTAGCACCCCCAGTCCCAGAAGCTCCAGTACCGCCAGTACGAGCACCTCCAGGACCAGTGGCTCCAGCACCTCCAGCGCCAACCCCAGGGTCATCAGCAACACCAACTTCAGTAGGCTCAGCGCCCTCAGCTACAGCTCTTGTAGCACCTCCAGCTCCCACAGCACCACGGCGGCGGCGACAGTACGGAGAGTACCACTCACGCAGCTGCTGGGAAGAGAGAACGCCCCCAAGCGCAGCACCCCCAGGGTCAGGACCTCCAAACTCAGCACCCCCAGGGACAGCACCCCTAGTCTCAGCACCCCCAGGATCACCACCCGCAATCTCCGCACCCCCAGGCTCAGCACCCCCAGTCTCCGCACCCCCAGGCTCAGCACCCCCAGTCGAAGTACCCCCAGACCCAGCACCACCAGGCTCAGCACGCTCAGGCTCAGCACGCTCGGTACCTCGCGCAGGACCAGAGTCGACAGCTACCTTGACAGGCTCGACCGGCTCTACCTGGGAAACAACTGAAAGAGCAGGACCCTGGGAAGGCAGGGGGTCTACCGAAGCAGCACCTGGCGTGAGGAAGAGCGGCGAAGGGGGGAGTGGGGCAGTGCGGTAGAGGAAAAGACGGTAAAAGGGGACCGACTCGTCAAACGTGACGTCCTGAGAGGGGAAGACACGGCGTGAGGTGGGGTGGTAAAACTACCAGCCATGCGCGTCAGGGACAAAGCCAAGGAAGACACAAGGAACGGCACGGGAGGAGAGCTTGTCCACCGACGTATCGCGGACAAAGGCACGAGATCCCCAGACACGGAACACAGACGCATCGCTAACCGCTCCCGTCCAACGCAGTGTCGGCGAGGTCTCCGGAACGGAGACACGGGGCAAGAGTTTGAGCTGATGCGCGGCGTACCGGACCGCAAACGGCCACAGAAAATGGGGGGCAGCCATATGGATCAATGAGGTAAGAGCAACCTCCATGACCAAGCCAATGTGGCGCTCAGCAACCCCATTCTGCTGAGGAGAGGCCGGAAGCGTGAACGTCTGCTCAATGCCCTCCCCCGGACAGAAGGCCTCCAGGAGGCCGGAGGAAAACTCACCACCTCTGACAAAGTGCAGTCGCACGACGGGAAGGTCCGTGCGAAAGCGCCTCTCCAGCTGGAGACAAGTAGCGCGGATCTAAGGGATTAAGACCGCAGGGACATCTCCCTTGGTGCGCAAGGGGAAGGCCGTGGTGTAACGCGTGTAGTCGTCCACTACCAGCAGGAAGTAGCGCTCTCCGCCCTGTCCACGGACGCGGGCTGGGCCCCACACGTCCATGTGAAGGGTCTGCAGAGGAGCCTCCGTCGGGGGGAACTCAGAGGAGTGAGGAGTGGCACGCTGCCGCCCCTTGACACAGGGAAGGCAAGGAGGGGCAGGGGACGGTGGCAGGGGAGGCAGTGACCTGGGGAGACCAGAGACAAGGAAACGAGAGTGCATGCCACGAAGGCGCTGCATCAAAGGGTGCCCAAGGCGATGGTGCCAGAGGACCGTCCGGTGCGACAGGGTGCGATACGAGCAGGGGGCGGACAACTGACCTGACGCAGACGCAGACGCCGCTACCTGAGGGGACTCAGTGGTCAGTGTGTACAAGTCCGACCCCGGCTGCCGAGTGAAGGTAGCCAGGTGACGACCCGTCTGGGCACACATGCAGTGTGTCACACGCTCGTAGGCAGGGGTGAACTGGTGAACACCCGCGTCCTGGAGCGCAGAACCCGCCACCAAGTTCGTAGAGAACGAGGGGAGGTAAAGGCCCGACAGTGTGCCGGACGGGACAGCAGTACAAGGTAGGGTAGTGGTGGAGGTCGCAAGGACCGGACCCCCGGAGGGGTCAGCCAGGGAGATAGCAACCGGCCTAGGGAGCTGCTCGAGGGCATTGCGGTCGCGAAAGAAACAGCGGGAAGCACCTGAGTCCTGTGTGAAGGTGTGCAGTGCCTCACTAGACGCAGTACCTGAAGGCGCAGACTCACAAGCACCTGAAGCAGCAGACACACCTGCACCTAGAGCATTAGCCTTACCAGGACCAGGGGCAGCAGACGCACTAGCACCTAGAGCGGTAGCCTCACCGGCACCTGGAGCAGCAGACTGGATACCGGGGTCAAGCGGCACACACAGGTGACAGGCTCCCTTGGCACTAGAAGACAATGCATACATTGAAGTGAGAAAAGCATCATAGTCAAGAGCAAAGATATCTACCCTCTGCCTAAGCAGCTCCACCCAGTCGGGGAGCTCAGCGTCGTCGCCAAACTCTGTACGCCAAGCATCGCTCAGACAGGCAAAGCAGCGGGACTCTGTGTGACCACGCGTCCCGCAAGGCTGACCAGTCCGGACACCCGTGCTAATAATGTACTGGCACCGAGCACTACTCAGCGACCCTCTACTCTGAGCGTACCACTCACGAAGGTGCTGGGACGAAAGAGTCTCGCGCGGACGACGCTGCTGCTGCACAGGGCCACTACAAGAAACTCCCAAACTACCCACTCCAGGACGACTCCCACTACTGCCACCCCGACAACCCCAACTATCGTACCACTCACAAAGCTGCTGGGGCGTGAGGGACACACGTGGACGGACCTGGAGCTGCATCTGGCCACGCCAGGAGCAGTAGTAGAAGCAGGAGTAGCAGGAGCAGCAGTAGCAATAGGAGCAGGGGCAGGGCAGTGCTCACCAGTGGTGGGAAGGGCAGGCGCACGACGGAGGCAACTGCGGGGCCGCTACAGCGGCAGGGCGGGGCTGCGACCGCGGCAGGAAGCTCCGCGGCAGTTGGCGCAGGGCGGGACCGGGCCGCGATGGCGGCTGGTGCAGGGCAAGGATAGGGCCACCACGGTCGCTACTGCAGGGGCGGCTGCTCCAGGGGCCAGGGGCAGCTCCTGCAGTGGCGGCTGCTCCAGGGGCCAGGGGCGGCTGCTGCAGGGGCGGCCGCTCCAGTGGCCAGGGGCGGCTGCTGCAGGGGCGGCCGCTCCAGGGGCCAAGGGCGGCTGCTACAGTGGCGGCTGCTCCAGAGGCCAGGGGCGGCTGCTGCAGGGGCGGCTGCTCCAGAGGCGGCTGCTCCAGGGGCGGCTGCTGCAGGGGCGGCTGCTCCAGGGGCGGCTGCTCCAGGGGCCCGGCGCGGGGTAGGGCAGGGCGATGCGGCGGGCAGGGGGGACGCCGCGGGCAGGGGCGACGCGGCGAGCAGGGCGACGCGGCGGGCAGGGGCGACGCCGCGGGCAGGGGCGACGCGGCGAGCAGGGCGACGTGGCGGGCAGGGGCGACGCCGAGTCAGCAGCTGGGCGCGGCCGCGTCAGTAGCAGGGCGCGGCCGCGTCAGCAGAAGGGCGCGGCCGCGTCAGCTGCAGGGCTGGCGGGGCCGCGTCACAACAGGGCGGGGCCGCGATTGCGGCCTGACAAGGCCGCGACTGCGGCCTGACGGGGCCGCGACTGCAGCCTGACGGGGCCGCGACTGCGGCCTGACGGGGCCGCGACTGCGACCTGACGGGGTCGCGCAGTGGCCTGACGGGCCTGCAGAGGCTGCGTGCAGGCGGCGAGGGCCTGCAGGGGCAGCGCGCGGTCGGGCTGAAGCTGCGCGCGGGCGGCGTGGTCCTGCAGGGGCAGCGCGCCAACCTGACAGGCTTGCAGGGGCGGCTCTCTAGCCTGACGGGCCTGCAGTGGCGGCTCGAGGGCCCTACTAGCTTGTAGGGGCAGCGCACTGGCCTAGGGCAGCAGGAGGCAGCGCGAGGGCTGCAGGACGGCGCGCAGGCAGAAAGAAGGGCAGGGCGCGCGAGGGCGCACTAGCAGAAAAATAAAGGGCGCACGAGGGCGCACGAGCAGAGAAAGGCGCACGAGGGCGCATGTAAGGTAGGGCGCACGAGGGCGCTCCTAGCGGAATAGTGGGCCCGTAGTAGTAAGCGGTCCTAGGTGGCAACCTAGGCTCGTGATACCATGTTAGAATGAACAAGAGTGATTGCACTAGGAAAGAGTTGGGTACAAGTAGGAAACCCTAAACTTACTGTACCCCATAGGTACTACCCCACTACAGCCTAAAGAAACTGTAGCAGATGTAACATTTGACAATAACTATAATAACGTATAGGAATGCACCTAACCTAGGAAATCAAGCATATCTATGCATGATAAATAAAACCTAGGCTAGTAATAGCATAACAAAGTCCAGGCAAGCTAGCAAATGAAAAGAGTTGAACGAGAATGAATGAGTGACTAAGTGAAAGTTGGGTACAAATACAAACCCTAGAAAGCTGTACCCCATATGTGCTACCCCACTATAGCCTACAATAGCTATGTCATATATATCTGACACACCCTCATAGGCAAAGTGGGGGAGAACAAGGGGTCACAAGACCAGTCATGCAAAGCAAAGCAGAGCAAGCTCAGGGTGGATCACAAAGTCACCACATAGTCCGAGCACAAGGTCAAGGCCACAAGGCCAGTTCACATGCAGGAGTGCACATATATATATAACACTAAACAAGCAAGAGCAGGTATATATATATGCAAGAGTACAAGTAAGATCAAGAGGTGAGCAAGTGAGGTAAGACAGGTACAAGTCCCAGCTGAGTGCAGAAGCGCTGATGATCACAAGGCGCAAGTGCCTTGGTGAAAACATCAGCAGTGTTGGCCTCAGAGGCCACGTACGCAAGTCGCAACTGACCACGCTGCTGCAGCTCACAAGCAAGAAAGTAGCGGAGAGCAATGTGCTTCATTCTGTGCTTCAGGCGCTGCTCTCGACACAAGGCCAGCATGGCCTTGTTGTCTACGTACAACACTGGAGGAGAACGAGGCGGCTCTCCAAGGTCAGTCAGCAGGTAGGTGAGCCAGCGAAGCTCCTGAGCAGCCATGGCCCCGCCGTAGATCTCAACTGGAGCCGAGAATAGAAGACGAGCGAGTAGCACGCCACGAAACAGAGCCGGAACCAAGACTGAAGGTGTAACCCTGTGACGACCGCTGAGTAGCCTGGTCGTCAGCCCAAGAAGCGTCCGCGTGCCCAGTGAAGACCACTGCACTCCGCCCTCCCAGCACTAGCCCCATGCCCGACGTACTGCACAAGTAGCATGACACCCTCTTCGCTGCAGCCATGTGCTCTGGTCGGTGTCTCCCCTGAGCAACATAGCGTGCGAGAATGCTAAGAGGGTATGCAAGGTCAGGTCGTGTCCAAGTCATCAGGTACATGAGGCAGCCAACAAGCTCTAGATACGGGCCACTCGACTCTACGGACTCATCCGAAGGCAGAGCTGAGAGCGAGTGGCGAGTAGGCAGAGGAGTGGCCTGAGGCGAGGAGTACGTGAAGCCGAAGCGCTGAAGGACCTGCTGCACCATGTGTGACTGAGTCAGGGTAATGGTGCGGCGTGCTCTATCGCGGGTGATCTGCAAGCCAAGGTAGCTGCGCAATTCACCCAGGTCTGTGCACGTGTGTCTCTTCTGCAGCTCGGACTTCACGTAGGCGAGTCCAGCAGTGTCAGCTGTGGCAAAGACCAAGTCGTCGACGTACACGAGGATGTAGAACGGCGGCAAAGAGGTGTCGGTGCGCAGAAACAACGACGGGTCAGCAGTAGAGGGAGCAAACCCAAGTGCCGCAAGTGTAGTCCTCAGTGTGTCGTGCCACTCACGCGGTGCCTGGCGGAGACCGTAGACTGGCCGTCGGAGGCTCCACTGGGTGCCAGGAGGGAAAGTCCCAGTGAAGCCAGGTGGACGGCGCAGCCAGATCTCCTCGTGCAGGCTACCCTGCAAGAAAGCAGTGCTGAAGTCAAGAGAGTGGAGCTCGTAGTCGCGCTGAGCGGCTATGTGCAGCAGTACCCGAAGAGTGGTCATCTTCGGGGTGGGAGAGAAGGTCTGAAAGTAGTCAACTCCCCGCCGCTGACTGAAGCCACGAGCGACGTACCGCGCCTTGAAGACAGGTGGAGAGCCCGGCGGCCGCTTCACCCTGAAGATCCACATGCCACTGAGAATGTTCGCCCCAGGAGGGGGAACCGCGTCAACGTAGGTGCCTGTGAACTTCCACGAAGCCATCTCTGCATCCATAGCTGCCTGCCACTGAGAGGAATAGGGACCCTCTACGGCCTCCGCGTAAGAGCGCGGAGTCGGGATGTCTAGTGCATCCGGGTCTCCCTCAGGGGCAAGTAGTACGGACGCGAGATGAGGTGAAGCAGCAGCTAGACACTGGAACTCCTCCTGCCTGTCCTTAAGGACGTCCGTGCCAAGAGCACACTCACCCCCGACGGACGGAGGACAGATAGACGCAGACTCAGCAACAAGACTGGCAGCGTAGTCTAGACGACAGCGAGCAGCAAAGTCGACGAGCTCAGCAACAAGCGGAGACGCAGCAGTGGACTCAAAAGAGGGGTCAGTGACGACAGTTGCAAGGAGACGCGTGACAGTAGGACTGGCAGTACGAAGAGAGTTTGACTGTGGGTCGGCAAGTGCAGGAAGAGAGGACTCAAGAGGAGAAGGCAAAGGGGCATGCAGAGGAGCAGTGGACGGACGCAGAGACATCCGGTGGGTGCCAGGGACAGGAGGAGGACGCTGACGCGAACCGCGACCACTAGCGCGAGCAGCACGAACAGGCAACGCGGGACAAGACGCAGGTTCACGACGCTCAGCAAGACCTCCAGTAGGACCAGTGTAAGGAGAGGGAGCAGGAAGTGGGGAGGCGGGCTCTAACTGTGACTCTGACTAGACAAGCGATGGACACTCTACAGGAGGAGAAAGACCAAGAACCTGCTGCAGGAGCGGAACGAAGTACGGCCGAGGCCGCGCAGCAACTCCAGACACAGCAGGGACAGCACCAGCACCCTCAGCGGCAGCACCAGCGCCAACAGCACCTCCAGCTGCAGGACCTCCAGCAGCACCCGCAGCAGGACCACTGCCAGGAAGGACAGCTGCAGTCTCCGCACCAACACCCTCAGTAGCTCCAGCGCCAGGCGGACCCGAAGGCCAAGGAGCCCCGAGACCGGCGGCACAAGTACCCTCAGCGGCCGAAGAAGCTCCAGCTCCAGCAGTACGCCTCCAGCGGCGAGCAAACCACTCACGCAGCTCCTGTGGAGAGAGTGGCTCCCGCCGAGACGAAGCACCCGGAGAGCCTCCAGGCCCTGCACCGCCAGACGCCAGAAGGGGAGGTCCAGTGGCCGCAGGCTCCGCAACTCCAGGCTCAGCAGCACCCCCTGGCTGAGCAGCTCCTGAGGTAGCACACCTTGGCTCAGCACCCCCAGTCGCAGCACCCCCTGGCTCAGCACCCCCAGACTCAGCACTCCCAGGCTCAGCACCCCGAGGCTCAGCACCCCCATTCGCAGTACCCCCAGGCTCAGCACCCCCAGGCTCAGAGCCCACGCGTGCAGCACCCCTAGAGTCAGCACCCCCAGGCTCAGCACCCGCAGCAGTACCAGAGTCACCAGCAACCTCGACCGGCTCGACTGCGTCTACCTGGGACACACCTGAAGGGGGTGGACCCTGAGGGGGATGGGGTTCTACCTGGGGGGGACCTGGCACAAGGAAGTGCGGTGGCGGGGGGGGGGAAGGAGTGCGGTAGGGGAAGAGGCGGTAGAAGTGGACTGACTCGTCGAACGTGATGTCCTGGGAGGACAGAACACGACGAGAGGAGGGGTGGTAGAACTGCCACCCTGGGGCTTCAGGGGGGAAGCCTAAGAAGACACAGGGAGCAGCACGAGGGGACAGCTTGTCCGTAGACAAGTCGCAGACAAACGCCCGAGATCCCCAGACACGGAACACACACGCATCGCCGACCTTCCCCGTCCACAGCAGAGCTGGGGAGGTCTCCGGCCGGTAGTCCCTGGGGTGAAGGTTGATCTGATGCGCCGCGTACCGAACCACAAACGGCCACTGAAAATGGGGGGCAGCCTCATGCATCATGGACGTACGAGCGACGTCCATGACCATGCCAATGCGGCGCTCAGCAATCCCATTTTGTTGTGGAGAGTCCGCAAGCGTAAAGGTCTGGCGGATGCCTCGCGCACGACAGTAGGCTCGCAGAAGGCCAAAGGAGAACTCTCCGCCTCGGTCAGAGTGCAGACGCAGAACAGGAAAGTCCGAGCCGAAGCTCCTCCTTAGCTGGAGACAAGCTGCGCGGATCTAGTCAATCAACACCTCAGTGACATCATCCTTGCTGCGCAAGGGGAAGACTGTGGTGTAACACGAGTAGTCGTCAACCACCAGCAGGAAGTAGCGCTCGTGACCCTGTTCACGGACGCGGGCCGGGCCCCACACGTCCATGTGAAGCGTCTGCAGAGGAGCCTCTGTCAGGGGAAACTGGGAGGAGTGAGGGGAAGCCCGGAGCCGCCCCTCGACACAGGGGACACAGGAAGGTCCTGGCCTCGAAGGAAGGGGAGGGAGAGACCGGGGGAGGCCAGAGACAAGGACACGGGAAGCCATGCCCCGAAGACGAGGCAAGGAGGGGTGGCCAAGACGGTGGTGCCACAGGAGAGTCTCGTGAGACAGGAGGCGACACAAGCAGGGGGCAAACTCTGGACCAGACCTGGACGCTGCAGCAAACACCTGACCCGACGCAGCTACCTGGCCAGACGCACGGACAGGAGGAGACTCAGTGGTCAGGGTGTAGAGACTCGACCCCGGCCGACGCGAAATCGTGGCCAATTGTCGGCCTGTGCGGGCGTCCGAGCAGTGGGTCACCCGCTGACTCCCAGGAGTAAACTGGTGAACCACCCCATCCTGCAGGTCAGCACCACTCACCAAGTTTGTCGAGAACGAGGGGAGGTACAGACCCGACAGGGAGCCCGAGGGGGCAGCCGGACACGGGAGGACAGTGAAGAAGTGAGCGAGGACAGGACCCCAGAGGGGTCAGCCAGGGAGACTGCAACCGGCCGACCAAGCGGCGTGAGTGTGGTGCGGTCTCGAAAGAAGGAGCGAGAAGCCCCTGAGTCAAGTGTGAAGGTGAGGGAGGCCAAAGCCGACGCAGTACCTGAGAGCGCAGCCTCACCAGTACTTGAGAGCGCAGACGCACTGGCACCTAGAGAAGCAGCCTCACAAGCACCTAGCGCAGCAGTACCAATGCCAGGGTCGGGCGAGAAACACCGGTAACAGTCACCCTCATCACTAATAGTCACAGCATACATGGCAGCAAGGATAGCATCAAAGTCAAGATCAAAGATAGCTACGCCAGCCCTAGACAGCTCTCCCCAGCAGGGAATCTCACTAGCCTCGGGGAACCGCTGACGCCAAGCGTCCGTCAGGCGGCCAAAGCAGCGCTGGGTGGGGTGGGCACCCCCACACTGCTTACCCGCGCGGTCGCCGGAATGAAGGACGTAGGTGCACGGACCAAAACCCCCACCACGCTGACGCTGCGCGTACCACTCACGGAGCTGCTGAGGCGGGGGGATGTCCCGAGAACGCTGCTGCTGCTGCTGCTACTGCTGCTGGCGCTGACCACCAGTAGAGCCGCTCCGCTGCGGGGCACCACCCCGACCAGCTCCACCCCCTCCGCCACCGCCGCCTCCACCTCCGCCACCACCGCCGCCTCCGCTCCCACCGCTGCCGCCGCCACCGCCTCCGCCTCCGCTGCCGCCACCACCACCACCACCCCCGCCACCACTCCCACCGCCACCCCCACTCCCTCCGCCGCCTCCACCGCCACCTCCACCGCCCCCGCCAGCTCCACCCGCGCCCTTGCCCCCCTTTCCCTTGCCAGATCGGCATCTCCCGCTAGGGGCAGACGCCGCGCCGACCGACTCAAGACCAAGCAGGTCGGCAGCAGCAGCAGAGGCAACAGAGGGCAGCAGGGGGGAAGGAGAACACCCCTCAAAGATGGGGGTGCGAGGGTCACCCCGAGAGGCTCCTACAGCGACGATGCTCTTCTCCGCCGCCAGGAGGGCCTTCTCGAGGAGGTCAACAGTAAGAGTGGTGGGATAGACTGAGAGTAAGTGGTCCCTGACTACGCGAAGGGAGTCAGGGAGGCGTGTGACTATGTAATAGAGAGTGATGTACATGGGGGGAGGGTTCTTGGCGCAGAACTCAGCAGGAAGTGCGGCGCGGTAGCGAGTGTCACTAGTGCGGAGGTGCGTAATGAGATCGGCGACTGTGGGAAAGGCAGCAGGGTCAGGAAAGTGGTACGGTAGCATGAGGCGGCTCAGTGCAGCAGTGGCAGGAGAAGAGTAGCGCGCAACTACAGCGTTGTACGAGGTCTGAGGACTCTTGTACTGACTAAAGTGCGCGCGCTCAGTGGTAGGCAGGTGGCGATGCACAGCAAGACGTGCAGCAGCATCGCGGGTGGCCCACTGAGAGCGAACTGTGGGGTCAGCGTCAGTAGCAGGGGTAGGAGAGGCGCAAGAGGTGAGGTCAAAGAGAGAAAGACCGTCCGCCCTATCGCACTGTAAAAACAGCTGCAGGTCGTCGACCCAGACCTCAAAGTCAATGGCTCGACCCTCAGCGTCAAAAGTGAGGACACTAGGGGTAGCCATGACGACGATAGACTAGCAGTGCAAGCAGTAGGGGAAGGGCACCCAGTGACAGTGGGGCTGCGCTCACCGGACAGGGCAGGTCGGGCGGCTCGGTAGTAGGGCGGCTCGGGTGCTGGGCGGCTCGGCGGCTGGGCGGCTCGGCGGCTCGACGCTCGGGTGCGGCGCGGCTCGGCTGCACAGCGGCTCGGCGGCTCGGCGCTCGGCTGCTGGGCGGCTCGGCTGCACAGCGGCTCGGCTGGTGGGCGGCCGGGCGGCTTTGCAGCTGGGCAGCCCGGCTCCTCCGGTACTCGGCGGCGCGGCGGTCGGCTGCTCGGGTGCACGCTGCTCAGGAGAGTGGCAGGGCCGCAGCAGACGGGCGGCGGGGCCCCAGGTGCCGGGCGGCGGGGCCGTAGTAGCAGGGCGGCGGAGCCGGTAGAGTCGGGCGGCGGGGCCGCGAAGTGGGGCGGCGGGGCCGCGAAGTGGGGGGGGGCGGGGCCGGTAGAGTTGGGCGGCGGGGCCGCGAAAGCAGGGCGGCGGGGCCGCGAGGTGTAGGGCGGCGGGGCCGCTAAAGCAGGGCGGCGGGGCCGCGAAATGAAGGGCGGTGGGGCCGTGAGG